AATGAAATAAATTCAAATGCTTGACTTAGATGGATTAAATAAAAACAAAACACAAAATCAAAACCCCACAAAGCACAGAAGTCCTAAAGTGAGGGAGGAAAAAAGGACCAGGGAAGAAACCCCAATTGTCTTTCAATGACCCTCACTCCCTATTCTGAGATGATTTTCTCAGTTGAGTTCCAAAGAAATACACAAACTGCAAACTCTAAATTTGCACTGCCAACTTAAAAGCATGCAGTTCGATTCCACTAGCTACTCTGCAGGAGGAAGATGCGAAATCTTCTCCCATGCAATTTACTGCCTCTGAAAAAAACACTGGAGGTTCACCACTGGAGTTCAATCTGACTTGATGGTACATAACACCACTACAATAATGTGTTAAGTAATACTTTATATAAATACATATTGATATGTTTTGCCACATGTGTAGCATACTACATATACTTTATATACAGTAATACTGTTATGTGCTGTCCAGTCGCCTACAACTCATAGCGACCCCTATGTACAACAGCCCTAAACCCTGCTCTATCCTGTACCAATCTTACTGTCTCTGACACATCTATCCATTAACTGAATCAATACATCTCATTGAGGGTCTTCTTCACTTGTGCTATCCCTCCATCCTCCCAAACATGGTATCCATCTCCAAGAACTGGTTCTGTCTTGCAACATGTCCAAAGAATGTCAGACAAGGAGTTTCAGAATCCTTGCCTCCAAAGAGCAGCCTGGTCTCACCTTCTCTAGAAGAACCTGTTTGTTCTCCTAGCAGACCATGATATATACAATAGTCTTCTTCAGCACCACAGCTCAAAGGCATGAATTCTCCTTCCACCATCCCTAGTCAATGCCCAGCTCTCTGATGCATATCAAGTGATTGCAAAGACTGTATCAGGCATACCTTAGCCTCCACACTGACACTGTTTCTCTTCAGTACTTTGGAGATCTCTCTGACAGCAGACTTTACCAATGCAATTCATTTTTTAATTTTCCGGCTGCCGGTAAACCAAGAACGTTGCTTTTGGAGCCAAGCAAACTAAAGCTGTTAACAATCTCAATTTCTTCATCTATCATGATGCTGTTAATTGGCCCAGGGGTGAGAGAATCTTTGTTTTCTTAATGTTGAACTTCAATCTATATTGAAGGCTGCATTCCTTAACCTTTTGCAACAAGTGCTCAAATCCTCCTCAGTTTCAGCAAGCAGGGTTGTGTCATCTGCATAATGCAGACTGTTGATGAGTCTTCCTCCAACCCTGATATCACAATTGTCTTCATAAGAGCCCAGCCTACCAGGTAATCTGTTCTGCACATAGACTGAAACGGTATGGAGACAGGACACATCCTTGGCATACATCCTTCCTAATTTTGAACCATACAGTGTTTCCTTGCTCTGTTCTAATGACTACCTCCTAGTCCAAATTTTGGTTTCGCATAAGCACAATCAAGTGTTCTGGGATTCCCATTCTTCTCAGAGTCAGCCACAGTTTGTTGTGGTCCACAAAGTCAAATGCCTCTCCATCGTCAATGAAACACATGTAGACATTCCTCTGGTACTCCGTGCTTTTGGTAAAATTCTATCTAACATTCGCTACAATATCCCTAGTACCACGGCCTCTTCTAAACCCAGCATGCACTTCAGGCAGGTCTCTGCTGATGTGCTGTTCCAGTTGTTTCTGGATAATCTTCAGCAGAATCTTGCTTACATGTGATATCAATGATACTGTTTGATAATTTCCATACTCTGTCGGATCACCTTTCTTTGGAATGGGAACAAATATAGATCTTCCAGTCAGCTGGCCAAATGGTTGTCCTCCAGATTTCTTGGCACAACTTGATGAGCACATCCAGGGCAGCACCTGTTTGTTGAAATATGTCAACTGGTACACCATCAATTCCTGGGCCCTTGTTTTTTGCCAATTCTTTCAGAGTATCTTGAACTTCTTCCTTCATCAACACAGGCTCTTGCTCATATGTTGTTTCATGAAATTTTTCTGTGTCTGCCAATTCCTCTTTGTACAATGACTCTGTATACTCTTTCCATCTTCTAATGCTTCCTGGAACATTTAATATTCTGCCCAAAGCATCCTTAAATATTTCAACTTGAAGCTTGAATTTGTACTTCAGTTTCTTGAGCTTAAGGAATGTCGAATGAGTTCTGACCCTTTGATTTTCTGACTCTAGCTCTTTGCACATTTCATTGTAATACTTTATTTTGTACCTTATATAAATATATAAATTTGTAGGTATATAAAATATCATTGCCACATTAGGAGTACACTGTCTAAAATGCCAGTATGATGGGAAATGAGTTATTAAAAACAAGTAAAATTTATTTTCCTATTTCTGTTCAGGCTATATAGATCAATTAAAATCTATCATTCTGAAGTGACCTGAGGGAGCTCAAGTTGGTAGAGAGTTGTGCTGTTAACCTAAAGGTGCCTCTCTATGATTTTAATTCACCAGAGGCTCCCTGGAAGAAAGATGGATAAACTTTCCCTCTTGAGATTTACAGCTTTTGAATCCAAGTTAGCTATGAGTCTGTTCCCACTTGAGTGCAAGGAGAGAAAGCAGTCACAATGCTATCAGCTCAATCTGTCCTTTCTCAGGAGGTACACAACTTCTTGTTGTTATGTGCCGTTGAGTCACCTGGAACTCACAGCAACCCTATGACCCAATAGCTCTGAACCTTGTCTTATCTTAAGCCAGTTTCACTGCCTCTAACACACCTGCCCCTATTACCCTCGTCTGTGTGTCAATCCATCTCATCCAGGGTCTTCCTCTCCCATGCTGTCCCTCTACTCTTCTAAGCACCATATCCTTCTCTATAGACTGTCCTTTTCTGGTAACATGCCCAAAGTATGTGAGACATAGCTTCAAATCCTTGCCTCAAGAGAGGTATTTGGTTTCACTCTCTTCAGGACAGACATGTTTATTCTCTTGGCAGGCTATGTTCAATACTCATCTCCAACACCACAATTCCATCAATTCTTCTTCTGACTGTCCAGCTCTCTTATGCATACTAAGTAACTGTGAAGACCATGACCTGGATCAGACACACCTTAGTCTCTAGACTAACATCTTTGCTTTTCAGCACTGTGGAAAGGTCACTAAAAGTAGACTTCCCTAATAAAATTAATTAGTCTTTTAATTTCCTGGCTGCTGGTGCCAAGAGTGGTGACTGTGGACCCAAGAAAGCTGAAATTGTTAACAATCTTGATCTCTTCTCCATCTATCATGGTGCTGCCAATTGGCTCAGTGGTGAGAATCTTTGCTGCCTTGTAATTAGAAGCAAGGTCTCAGGGCAGCTATGAGTTGTTTTTTAGTCACAGCAACATTTGGAAGTACTACTGGAAGTGGTGAAATCCTGGCATACTGGAAGCATTTGCTTTGTCATTTCAGGAGCAGCTGAATGTTAAAGAAGTATAACCTAGTCAACCCAACTATGCAGTTGTTATGTGCTGTTGAGTAGCCTGTGACTCACAGTGACCCTATGTACAGGAGCACTAAACCCTGCTTTACTGTGTCAATCTTATTGTCTCTGACATACCTACCGCCATTACCCCAGTCACTGAGTCAATCTATCTCATCCAGGATCTTCCTCTCCTGCATTGTCCCTCCACCCTCCCAAGCATGATGTTCCTCTCTAAGGACTGGTCCCTCCTTACAACGTTTACTAAGTATGTCAGACAAAGTTTCAGAATCCTTGCCTCCAAGGAGCAGCCTGGTTTAACCCTCTCTAGGACTAACCTGTTTGTTCTCCTAGCAGTCCATGGTACATTCAATGCTCTTCTCCAGCACCACTGCTCAAAGGCATCAATTCTCCTTCTATCATCCCTAGTCATAGTCATTATCCAGCTCTCTGAGGCATAAGGAAGTTAATGCAAAGACCATGGCCTCTATCAGGTGTACCTTAGTCTCCAGATTGACATCATTGTTCTTCAGTATTTTGGACTGGTCTCTGACAGCCAACTTTCCCAACGCAATATGTGCTTTAATTTACTGGCTGCTGGTGCCAAAAGTGTTGATTGTGGAGCCAAGCAAACTAAAGCTATTTACAGTCTCAATCTCTTCAACATCTATCCTCATGCTGCTAACTGGCCCAGCGGTGAGAATCTTTGTTTTCTTGATGTTGAGCTTCAATCCATATTGAAGACTGCAGTCCTTGACCTTTTGCAGCAAGCACTTCAGGTCAGTGTATGAGAAAATTCATTAGGTCTACCAAATTAAATCTTTTATTGGCACCCAAAACTAGGGCTGTTGTTAGATGCTCTGGAGCGACTTTTGACTCACAGAGACACCATGTTCCTTAGAGTTTTCTAGACTTTGGTCTTTGCAGGATCGTAAGGTCACAGCCTCTAGGCAGATTCAAACTGTCAATATTTCTGTTAGCAGACAAGCTCTTAGTAGCTACATCACCAGCACTTCCTAAAGCATTCACAAAAGCACTAGTTGTTGCTGACATCCATGCCAGAGGGGCACAGGCAGGTTTAAACTCTTAGGGTAAAAATGGCACTGGTATGTTTCCAAGAAAAAGAAAACTAAAAAAAAAAAAAAAAAAAAAGAAAGAAAACTCATTTACCAGTTTGAAAACAAACTGAGAAATTGTCGCCAGAGGTCAGCAGCTCTGGCAATCTACCCTCTGAAGTTTGCCACTAAGGCTTGCACTTCATACTCTAGTAATATTCTAGAACTGTGTCTTTAAAACCCACGATTTGGCGGGGGGTGGGGGGGGGATATATTACCTCTTATTCTAAAAATGCGGCCAAAACTCTAATCAGAAAAGCAAGAAGGCAAGAATCCGTTCTCTTTGTCTATTCTTTTTTGAGGCAGCACCGTAAATGAAATGATCATCCAATACCCCCGACCCTGGAAAACCCCTTTAACTGAAAAGACAGTAACCCAAGTCAGCATAATGAAAAAGAACCTGAAAAGGGGAGCAGGAGCCCGTGAAGCAAGCCCTCTGAAGCACTGTCACCAACCTGGGGTGCGAGGGTGCCTACCTTAGAGTCCTGCAGGCTGAAGACGCTGGGGTCGTCGGTGCTGCCCACCATGATCTTGTGTTCCTTGCCCGGGGCATGGCCGCCGGCCCCCTCAGCACGCGCCGCCTTGGCGCCGTGGCGCTCCCCGGACACTCGGTCGCTGGTGGTGTTTCCCATGACTGCGGTTCGAGTCGGGAGCCACCTGCCGCGGAGAGTGACACGGTGCGGGGGACACCCCAGCCGCTGCGTCAGGGGCGCCCCCGGCCCCGCCCCTGCGCCCTGGGAACCGGGAGGGGAATCCCCGCCGCAGGGACAGCGCGCGCCCGGGATTCCCCTCCCTCTCTAGCCTTCAAGGAAGAGCCTTCACGTCCCTAGGTCCCCGCACTGCCCCCTTCTCAGGAAACCCTCTTCGGGAATTCCCTCTGCATCTCCGCACACCCTGCACCCATCCCAGTCCTCCCCACCCCAATCACCTTCCGCGATTGGCTCCCTCCTCCTCAAGCGGCTGGGGCAATGGCTGCCCTGAGGATAAGGCCACCAATAAAGTTATTGAAATTCAAGTCGCGCCTCCAAGGAGCGATCTGAAATTTCCTCCTAAAATGGCTACAAGGCCAGCCGCGCCGGGCACGCCCCGCACGCGCCCGCCCGCGCGGCCGCCTCTCTAGCCGCCGCCGCCTCAATGGTGTCAGCTGCGCCCGGCCGTCAGCGCCAGACGGGGGCGCTCGACGCCCAGCGCGGCGATCCTTGGAGAGCTGGCGCCGCCGCCTGACAAGGGGAGACGCAGTGAGCTGGAAGTGCTGGTGAGTGGGTCCCTGGGCCTGCGCTGTGGACAGGACGGTCCCAGAATGAGGCCGCCCTCCCGACCGCCGGGCCTCGGGGGTTTGGGACCCGGGGTGCGGTGCTGCCTTTCCCCGCCCCCATCACCAGCCCTAGTTCACCAAAACCTCTGAAGAGCAGCGTCCTCGAGAGAGGAGAGCCCAATGAGATGGGGAGTCTTGTAGAGAATTGGGGGGGGGGAGTCAACTTTCTAAAATTACCAAAAGGGTAAGGAAAATAATGATATTTGGTACTCATTTCAATGTTGTTGTTGTTTTTAATCCTTAAAAGAAACTACAAAAACACTTCAGTAAACCTGCTGTCCTTACAGTTGGATGATGATGTTAGTGGAACAGAACACATTTTGCCCGGTCCATATTCCTTACTTAATAGAGAACTTTTGCTTTTGAAAGAAAGAAAAAAAGAGATCAGATTTAAATTCCCTAAGAAGGAAGTAATGGTAACTGCTGGAAGTTTGAGCGACAGAAATGAGCTATCTGCCCATTGAAGAGGTATTAAATAAATTTTAGCGATAAAGAAAATGTTCTTGGGGGAAGCATCTGTATTTCATTTTATGCATGTTTCAGTCCTTGCTCGACTTGTTGCTCAGCCTGTGCGCCACACAACAACAGCATTAGTATCATCTATGCCCATTGTAAGCCTGCAGGGGGGTGGTGGTGGTGGTGGTGTTGATGCCTTCGAGAGGAGCACGACTCATAGCGACCCTATGAACAAAAATCCTAAAGTCTTTTTATAACTATCGTCGTTTCTCAAAGTTCATAGAGTTTTCAGAAGCATGTGGTTTAGGAAGTGATGCCATTTCTGCTTCCAAACCTGAATCAGTCTTTGAACTCCACCAAACACTGTCCACCATGGGCAGCCGATGCAGTGTTTGGCACACCTGTGGCACAGTTTGTTCCATATGGCATTTGAGACCCCAGTGGCACAAGGTTCAGTGTCACAGCAAACCCAAATTACCTCAGTACAGCAAATGACCAGAGTGCTATATGGCTTAGAAGAATGTTCCTCCAAAACATAGTAACAAGAGATTAAAATATAATCCCTCGGGCAAGAGGTCCTGTTGACTCTAAACAAGAGGCTTAAATAAAAACAACCTAACAATCCATACAGGTCCTCAACCAAAACAAGAGCACCATCTTGCAGAGTCCAGACACTTCACCCAACTCCAAAATGGAGACAGGGTTATATGTTGTTGTTGTTAAGTGCCATCTAGTACCAACCCTATAAACAAAAGACCTTAACCTTGTTCTAGAACTATTGTCCTTTCCCTAAGTTCATAGAGTTTCCACAGGCATGTTTAGGAAGTGGACGCCACTCCTACTTCCAAGCCTGTCTTAATCAGTGAGCTCTTCCAAACATTGTCAACCATGTGTAACCATTACAGCATTTGATGTACCAATGGCACACCATTCAGTGTCACAGCAATCCAAAATTACCTCAATACAGAGAAATGGCAGAACAGCATTGTACCACTTAGGAGAAGGTTCATTTCAATTACCCAAATGTTGTTGTTATGTGCCATCGAGTCATTTGCGACTCATAGCGACCCTATGTACAACAGCCCTAAACCCTGCTCTACCCTGTGCCAATCTCATTGCCTCTGACACACCCATCCCGATTAGCCCAGTCACTGAATCAATCCACCTCATAGAGGGTCTTCTCCTCCTGCGCTGTCCCTCCACTCTGCCCAGCATGATGTCCCTCTCCAAAGACCTGTCTCTCCTTACAACATGTCCAAAGTATGTCAGGCGAAGCCCCAGAATCCTTGCCTCCAAGGAGCAGCCTGGTTTAACCCTCTCTAGGATGAATCTATTTGTTTTCTTGGCAGTCCATGGTACCCAAATGAGTTTTTTAAAAAAACCCAGGCCTGCACTCCAGGCTCTCATTGGCATCCAGCCTGTTCCCATCCAACACAGAGAAGGACTTACCCCTCCAAAGCCACATGCAGTATAGGAATCTGCATTTTAACAATACCCCCAGGGCAGATGTGTGACTCACATTGTGAGTAGTATTGCTTTGACAACTACTTTAGAGTAGATATAGATTTGATTCCTCTTCTTATTCTGGACGGTAAGCTTTGGATAAATATTTGGGAATGAAGTCCAGGGATACTGTTTACTGACATTTTTAAAAGATATGCCACTTAGGATAAAGCACAGCCAGTGATAGGTCACAAATGGCAGCTTTTTTTGAGTGAACAGCTTTAGTGTTGGGAAAAGTTATTTTTGCATTTAGTTGAAAATCTGCTAGACTCTGACAACTCTACTCCTCCTCTGTCTTTTATTGTTGTACTACTTCCAACTTCAATCACTCTCTTACTCTTAACCAAAGAAATAACAGCAAAAAGATACAATTTTCTGATGATGCTCACTCCTAAATTTTGACTGCTTTGGTAATTCATGTTAATCCCTACTCTCAGAGATCAAGTAGAAATAAGCGAATTTTGAGTTTTTTGTTTGTTTCTCCCTCTCCCAAGGTCCTAGGGTCAAACATACCAGTTCTTGATCCTTGGGAAAAAGATGATAATTGGCTGATTTGTTGTTTTGTTATGTGCCATCAAGGTGCCCGCTACTCATAGCTATTCATACAACAGCTCTGAAGCTTTTCCTGTCCTGAGCCAGTCTCACTGATTTCAACACACCTCCCCAATTGCCCTACTTACTGTATCAGTCCATCTCATCCAGGGTCTTCCTCTCTTGAGCTGTCCCTCTACCCTTCCGAATGTAATGTCCTTCTCCAAGGATATGTCCCTCCTGGCCACATGCCCAAAGTATGTGAGAGGGAGTTAACAGAAACGCCACATGACCCAGCTATTCCACTGTTTGGAATATAACCCAAGCAAAGGAGAACTGAGGCTCAAACAGAGACTTATACATCAATGTTTGCAGCATCATCATTCACCATTGCAAGAACATAGAGACAGCTCAGATGTGTGGAAAAAAAGGAATGGATTGAGAAATTATGGTACATTCACACAACGGAATACTACACAGCACACAAGAGACACAGGAGCAATGATTTTGCAAATTACTACTTGTGAGGGACTGAGGAGCATTATGTCCCATAAGGGCAAATACTGTATAAAACCATTATTATAGAATGAGTATGAGGATCCAAGAGGGGGGAGGGTGGAAACAGAAAAGTAAGAATTGGGTGGGGCAGGTTAATCATAGAGTTGCACAATTTGATGGATGGGGTGGTGAAGGAAAGGGGAAAGATCCTATGTGAAAAACAATGTATTTAAACTTATTAAATAAACCAGTATATATATTTTTTAAAAAAGCCTCCGAGGAGAAACTTGGTTTCACCCTCTGTAAGACAGACCTATTTGTTTTCTTGGCGATTCATGGTATGTTCAAGACTCTTCTCTAGCACCACTACTCAAAGGCATCAGTTCTTCTTCTGTCATCCTTAGTCGTTGTTCAGCTCTCTGATGCATAGCAAGCAACTGCTAAGACCATGGCATGGATCAGGTTCACCTTAGTCTCTATACTGACATCATTGCTTCTCATTATTCTGAAAAGGTCCCTGACAGAAGATTTACCTCAATATTCTGGAAAGGTCCTTGACAGCATTTCCTTAATGGTTGGCTGATTTATAACCTAAATCCTCAGGGACTGTTCTTTGCTATTCTACAAGGTCAAGTTATGAGTTGAAATTAAGTTGTCAATGGATTTGGTTCACTCTTCCCCCGAAGAAGCCTTGGTTGACATCTAGTTAATTGCTGTGCTACAGATCACAAGGCTGGTGAATTGACCTACTCAGCATCTCCAGAGGAGAAATATCTGATGATCATCTCCTGGAAAGATTGCTGTTGTTGTTATATGCCATCAAGTTGAGCACGACATGTAAACAACAGATATGAACCCTGCCCAATCCTGTGCCATACTCATCATCTCTGACATACTGGAGCCCATTGCTGCTGTCACTGTGTCAGTCCATCTTGTTGAAGATCTTCCTCTCTTTTACTGATCCTCCAGCTTTCCAAGCATGACATCTCTGTAAAGGTGAAAGCCTAGAAAATCTTTCAAGGAAGTTTTACTGTTGCATGAGGTCACTATGGGTTGGGAATTTTGGTTGGTAATTCAACACATGTGTCCTGTCTCCATACCTTTTCAACTTGTATGCAGAACAAATTATGCGGGAGGCTGGGCTCTATGAGGAGAAATGTGGAGTCAGAATTGGTGGAAGATCTACAACAATCTGT